CCTTATAAAGAGGAAACCTCAAATTATATTTGAATATTGAGATTTCTCAGCTGAAAAATAAATAAAACTTTGCTAGCTCACAAGGAAAAATTCAAAATTCTAAGGCATTTTTCCTCAAAATCAGGTTTTTTGTTGCCACTGCTCAAAAAAGTGCTTCAAAATTTTGTTTTATGATTATATTTCAGGCAGTTCATTCAAATGATACATTGATAAGGTTTTTATTCATTATATTTTGACAAAATGCAATTGTTGTTAACATTTTAGTCAAAACACTATATTTGCCTATTTCTCTTTATACAACTTTTAGACTTAATCCTTGTTTTAATGTGACGGCTCACATATTTTATTATAATTAATGCAATAAGTTGTTCAGAAATGCTAAAGCTGGTTGTTTTCTAAGCTTTGTAAAAGTGTCAGAGGTCTGCAGCTCTGACTGTTTGGGTCAGGAGCTGAAAAGGTTTAAACCACAGGTTYACACAGAGTTTTGTCCACATGTCACAGTTTCATTCACCATGTTGGTTGTGTGTTTCTGCACAAATCAACCGAATCAGAAGAAAAGCTTCAGGCTGACAGTTAAAAACCAAACAAACGTGTTTATTTCCTGCTGTAAACACTGGAGCTCTGCAGATGTCCTGACTAACTCTGACATCCCAGAAGTTCACACAGAAACACAACAAACTGTCTATGAATGGAAATAAAATCAAAGTGATTGATTACCAGATAATCACAACACTTCWGCAGTACCTTGATCCATGGACCTCATCATGTGGTACTGTGCCAGCCTCCAGCTCTCTCTGAACATCTGGATGGAAAACAAAAATCCAAAAAGAAAGAAAGAAAGTAGAAAAGTGGTGTCTTCAGACAGCCATGGTAAAACAAGGCTTCTGTTAAAAACACTAAAAACACTAAAAGAAGAAATGAAAAACGTCCTTTAGTTTGGGGGAAAATGCGTAAAAGTGAGTTTGTGCTGAAAACGCGCGGCGCAGCTCGGCTCCAGCGGAGCTTCTGGTGAGAAGTCCTCCTTCCTCGAGCTCCACAAAGATGAAGTTGAGCATCAGGAGCAGTTTCCTTCCTCGCTCTGGGTGTTTATAACGCTGCAGTGCAGTAAAAGAACGGGATTCCCTCAGTGTTTCCTCCTGTTTGGGCGCCTTCGCCATGGAAACCTGGAGCGGCTCCATGTCCGACACTCAGGGCTTTCCTGCAGAGCCCCCACACTCAGGAATCCATGACGTCTCCAGCTCGCGCGCCAAGGCATTTCTGCGGCTTCTCCCAGACAGTAGCACAAGAAGCTCATTGTGGGGATGAAGACATGAGAGGAGGAGGGCACACACCAAATCATCCTCATGGAGATGGCTCTCTGTACAAATCAAACAGGACCAAAATGTCCGTTTGAAACTTGATTAAAGAAGTTTTTGCTTCTTTCCASTCGTGGAAGAAGTCGTGATAAATGTTGTGAAGAAAACCTGAAGCATCTGAAACAGCAGAAAATCACCAGTTATATAACCGAGCAGGGAGCAAATTACAAACTGTTTCCATTTGCAGGATTATTAGTCTAACAGATCACAGACAGGGAGGCAAAAACTGACTCTAAAGGCCTGGCTGTAGAAATACACATTAAACCAAGTAAACCAGGCCTTCTTAACCTTTGTGACCTCAGGGTCCAGTTTACTGAACACAAAGTGACACCAGGTCCAGTCAGACATTAATGTATGGATCAAAATGATAATTATTATAAATCTGGGTTTAATTTTTATTGTATTTACATCATAACTAAATTAAAGCAGTACAGTACACTTAAAAGTAAAACTCCTGTCAAATAATCACAAGACATGATTATAACAAACATTTTTATAATGTAACCTGCCCATAACTATTATTTGAACAAATACAAAGGTCAGTCAACAGACCACTCAGGCTTATCAACACAAAAATTTATATTTTTAACATAAACAATACCTAAAATAGACAATAAATAAAATTGTGGGCATAAAATAGGTTCATTAAAAATGTTTAAATGTTTCAAATACAAAAAACCTATAAAAA